TTGGCAAGATAAAAAGTGATATTTTTATTGATATATACTCAGTTAACTTCTCTTTTAAATACTACTCAATTCCATAGTTTTTATGGCTTCTCGAAAGTGGTCATGAAAAAAAAATTTTTTAAGATTTTATTTATGTATTTATCCAAGAGAGCAAGGGTGAGTGACAGGCGAGCGGGAGGAGGGAGAAGCAGGCTCCCGACCGAGCAAGGAGCCTGATGTGGGACTCAATGCCAGGGTCCTAGGATCATGACCTGAGCTGAAGGCAGATTCTTAACTGTGAGCCACCCGAGCACCCTGCAAAAACTTTAAGATTTTTATTTATTTATTTATTTATTTGACAGAGAGGTAGAGAGCATAAGCAGGGGGAATGTCAGAGGGAGAGGAAGAAGCAGGCTCCCCACTGAGCAGGGAGCCAGATGCTGGGCTGGATCCCAGGACTCGGGGATCATGACCTGAGACAAAGGTAGATGCTTAACCAACTGAGCCACCCAGGTGCCCCTAGTAATGAAAATTCTTGTTAGAATGTCCAGAGTATGATGTTTCTTAGACTTTGCATTACACATCCTTTGTTCGGCTGAGCTTTGGTTACTAGATTTTAGATATACATTATAGATTTTTGATAGTTATTTTATTAACTATAATTTGTTATAGTTAAAACTACTATAGTTAGTAATATAGAATTGTTAAAATGTAGTTATATTATGAATATGCTTATAGTATCATAGTTAACACAAAAAGTTTAAACCAAGATGCCCTTCAACGGTCAAATGGATAAGGAAGATGTGGTCCATATACACTATGGAGTATTATGCCTCCATCAGAAAGGATGAATACCCAACTTTTGTAGCAACATGGACGGGACTGGAAGAGATTATGCTGAGTGAAATAAGTCAAGCAGAGAGAGTCAATTATCATATGGTTTCACTTATTTGTGGAGCATAACAAATAGCATGGAGGACAAGGGGAGTTAGAGAGGAGAAGGAGTTGAGGGAAATTGGAAGGGGAAGTGAACCATGAGAGACTATGGACTCTGAAAAACAATCTGAGGGTTTTGAAGGGGCAGGGGGTGGGAGGTTGGGGGAACCAGGTGGTGGGTATTGGAGAGAGCACAGATTGCATGGAGCACTAGGTGTGGTGCAAAAACAATGAATACTGTTATGCTGAAAATAAATTTAAAAAATTTTTTTAAAAAAGTTTAAACCTTTTTGGGTCACCTCTCTTATGTAGTGATTTCCTTTGTCACTGCATTTAGTATTTCTATTTAGACCCTAAATATTTATAATCTATAATTTTGCTTAAGATAAAAGTCTGTTAGAAAGACTGTTTATTATATTCATGGAATTGCTAAATTCACATGTGTGTTAGGGCACTTGAAAGTGAAATAATTTCAAATGTATTGACATGTCTGAAATAAGTATAAAATTTGGATTTGTAATTTTTCTGTTAAAAACTAGCTAATGTGCATGTTTTCTGCCTCATCTTATTCCTTTTAATATACAGAATTATTAAAGTCCAACTTTAGAAGTTGAACCACTTATACACAATATTATTTGTAATGGATCTTGATAAGGTTTATTTTGTTAAATAGTTAGATAAAATACTTTTGAAGGGCTTTCTTTCTGTTAATCACACTACTGTTGATTTTTGTTTTACATTGGTCCTTATTTCTGATAGCAGTGAACATGGACATCTTTCAGAACATCTTATTTAAATTGAATTTGAATCTGTATAATAATTCCTTATTCCTATACAAATAGGATCTTCCTCCCTGTTTTTGGTGCTAAAAACTTTAAATTCTTACTGCCAGTGTCCAGCTACCTACAGTTCACAAGCACATAACACCCTTCCTTCACATCCCAACCCGTTTTCTTCTGCAGGCCATCACATTTCACACTGTCACTTGTATCATTATGTGTCATATTTTTTTAAGATGATGTATTGATGACATTTTCATGTTGAATAGGCACATGCTGTAGATTCTATGCATTGTCTCCTCATCCAAAAAAAAAAAAAAAATCTTTCATTCCATCTTGAAAGAAGAACAATTTCTCTGCATCCTTATTTTCTCTTTTACATTTTCTAAGAAACTTCTAAAGAGTCATCTTTTGGTGTATTTATAAAACTCTACATGTAGCATGAATCCCATCCTACTTTCCTAAAATTGCTTACTTTCAAAGATCGTGCATGTCCTTGAACATGTTTTTAAAATGATTACCTTAACATCTCACACTGTTACTGCATGGCTCCTTTTTTTTTTTCTTTTATTACATTTTGCTTTGGCACTGTGTTGGCAATAATATTTTGGCTTCTCTTATTCTTTTCTTACCACTCCTTTCTTGAGCTCCTTGAATGTTCCATTACTTCCTTGAAAGTTTATCAAGGAGCTACCACATCACTTCTCTCTGGAGTTGTCTTAAGTGATATTACAGAGAACCTTCAAATATCATTTCTATAAAGTTGACTCTCAGAAATGTGGCTTATTACCTTCACTCAATTTGCAACCTCCTCCCTTACATTTAATTCTGTACATCCTCTCAGCCTATGCAGCTTTACATACCTACCCTTCGTTTTGTTTTTTTTTTTCTTTCAAGCTTTTATATAAATTCCAGTTTTTTAACATACAGTATAAGATTGGTTTCAGGTGTAAAATTTAGTGATTCATCACTTAAATATAACACCTGGTGCTCATCATTACAGGTGCCCTCCTTAATCCCCAACACTTATTTCACCATCCCCCTGCCCACCTCTCCTCCATCAACTTTCACTTTGTTCTGAATAGTAAAGAGTCTATTTCCTGGTTTGCCTTTCTTCCTCCCCTGCCCCGGTTCATCTGTTTTGTTTCTTAAATTCCACATATGAGTGAAGTCACATGGTATTTGTCTTTGTCTGACTAACTTCATTTAGCATAATACTCTCCAGCTTGATCCACATCATTGCAAATGGCAAGATTTCATTCTTCATGATGGCTGAATAATATTCCATTGTACATAAATATACAGCATCTTTATCCATTCATCAGTTGATGAACATTCGGGCTTTTTCCATGATTTGGCTATTATGGATAATTCTGTAAACATCAGGAGGCATGTATCCCTTTGAATCAGTGTTTTTGTATCCTTTGGGCAAATACCCAGTACTGTAATTACTGGCTCATAGGGTAGTTTTATTTTTAAATTTTTTTTTTAACTTTTTGAGGATCCTCCATACTGTTTTCCAGAGTGGCTGCACCCTTTTGCATTCCCACCAACAGTGTAAGAGGGTTCCCCTTTCTCTGCATCCTTGCTGACACCTGTCCTTTCTTGAGTTGTTAATTTTAGCCTTTCTGACTATGTGAGGTGATAATCTATTGTAGTTTTGATTTGCATTTCCCTGACAAGTGATGATAAGTAACTTTTCATTTGTCTGTTAGCCAGCTGTGTGTCTTCTTTGGAAAAATATCTGTTTGGGTGTCCTGCCAATTTTTTAACTGGATTGGTTTTTGTGTGTTCAGTTTTATAAGTTCTTTACATATTTTGGATACTAACCCTTTATCAGAATGTCAGTGTCATTTGCAAATGTCCTCTCCCATTCCAAAGGGATGGGAGTTATATTTCTTGTTTTGTTGATTGTTTCCTTCCATATCTACCCTTTTGTATACTATTTTTTGGTCTTTACTGTCCTTACATTTAGTTAATGGTTCTTATCATTCATGTTCTAATTATTTTAGTTCCTCCTTTCCAGTTTTCTCTTTTGTTTCCCAGATATCTATCTACTCTTCACTGCTCTAGTTATCTCCCCATCCATCCTTCCTGATCTGCTCATTTCTTATCACTTTAACCCCATTTGCTATAAGTCTTCCCAAAGCACCAGTAAAATTATCTTGCTTGAGCCCCTGAATCCAGTTTTTTGTTTTAACCATACACTAAATAAAACATCCCCTTTAGCCTGGCATTCAAAGCTAAGTATTTTGACTAGCCTCAAAGCTGTTTAATTACTTATACTCTCCTTATTTCCAACATGTAGTAGTCAATTTTGACTACTCCCTATTTCTTAAATTCATATTTTCCTCTTTTCTCTTATGTTTCTCCTTCTACTTGGAAAATGTACTCAAAACCATGTTCTAATAAATATTTTTATTTGGAAATATCTTACCCTCTCTAATGCACTGAGTAAATGCCACTAGCTTTCCCTTTTTACCACAATTGCCATTCAGTCTCACTTGGGAATTTAAGAAATTACCTGTTTATTAGCCAGCCTACTCCCTTCCTCCAACAAACTTCCTCTGAAGTATTTTAAAGCTTACTTAGGGATATGTGCCATAGTTATATGTATAGATCTTATCTTTTCTAAATGTACATTCTCTGAGAGCAGGGGACTATATTTTATTAGGTCATTTTATTTTTTTGATCTCCATGGAGTGTAGCATGAGGATTGCTGCAGAGAATTATATAGGACGTGCCCTGGACAAAGGGTTGCACCCTTGAAGGGTGAGCTCAGATGGGGACCAAAGTCCTAGAGGGGGATGCCTTTTTCTGTTTTGCACATTTGAAGACACCCCATCTGCATGTGTAATCAATTAATTCAAAGCCTTATATGCAACCTTTGTCCTTACTTAACTGTGGTCTGCAAGTGGCTTTTTATTATGTGCTTTTATCTATTTAGTCTGTGTCATTTCCCTTTTGCCACCAATTTCTCAAAGGTTTCTCCTGTTACACATCCAGTTTATACTGTCCCCATACATCAGATTCTTACTGCTTTCCATAAAACATTGAAATGATCCAGTGTTTGTTTGCAGTATAATTGTTGTCATATGACTACATTTATTTCTAAGTCATTCTTCAGACTGCTTCTCTTTTGAATCCCAGTAATTAAAAGCTTAAACTATCTGAATTTCCCTTATTTTTTTTATGCCTGTGTCACCTTCATGTTTTAAACCTTTGAATTTGTCATTGCTGTTTTAATGCCCAGCTTTATTTATCATTATACCTGAGATTCAAGTTATATTTGTTCTTATATTTTAGGTCGTTCTTCCCTCTTTCCAATAGATGATGGTCTGCTTGATGATGGTCATAATGATCAAGTTGGTGTTTTAAATTCACCCACATGTTACTCAGCTCATCAAAATGGAGAACGAATAGAACGCTTCTCTCGAAAAGTTTTTGTTGGTGGTCTTCCTCCAGATATTGATGAAGGTAGGGTGATAATTTGAGCTTAAAACAAAACAAGCAAACAAAAAAACCCTAAAATATAATGTGAATGGGGTTATGGATGTTTTACCTTGAGATTTTCAGTCAGGATGGATATCCATCTCTGTCTAAATATTTTGTCACCTTTTGAAATATGAAATAGGTAATTAAACAGTTAAAAAAATTTTTCTTTATATGTTAAAATGCATATTGTTATTGTATTTTTTTGTAAATAAGATTATCATACAGAAAGTTTTTCTAATAAAACTTAAAATCTTTCGTATTACCATAATACACAAAATAAAATGCCTGCAGTGCATGACAGTCAGAAGCTTAATTTCCTTGAGGATAAATAGGCTGTTAGAAATAGGTAAGAAAGAGGTAATAAAGCCCAAAAGGGTAATGGAAACAGAACATAAACAGGAAATTCAGGTTATCTAAAAGCTGAACAGATGTAAAAATCATCATTTGTAATAATAACAGAAAATAATTCAAGGTAAAGATTAAAAATACGAAACTGCCCAATGTTTGTACAGTTGTGGGAAGTCTGCCACTCTTATTCACAACTAAGAGGATTTTGCTACACTTTGAGAAATTTTTAAATTACTCAAATATCCAGAAACCTGTCCTAAGTGTTAGTTTAATAAGGTTTTCATACAAGGAAATAACCTAGAGCATATCATTGTATTTGACCTGTATTTGTTTCAGTGAAGCTACCCGGTATGTGTCAGACCTTAATGAGTATGATAATTCTTCGTGTCTTGTTCTAACAGACCTGTTCTTTCCCTATGAGATTTTACTTATCAAGCAGTAATCGTCTATTTAACTTGAGATAATGTTTGCATGTTTTTAAAGCCAGTAACATTTATGATTTGGTATACTATCAGTCCTTTAGTATCTACACAACGTTAGATAACATTTTAAAACTCACACTGAATTGATTGCTCTGGTCAGCGTGCTACTTAAATTTATTAATTTCTTTTGGCTAAAATATCTGTTTCATATATTCTGTCAGTAAGGATATTATTAGACGTGTTTTCGGTTTTCATGTTTATCTTAGAGTACTTGGTACTTTTAAACATTAAATCTTTAACTTATAAAATATGGGTTTTTTTAATGAACTCTTAAAACTAATTCCTAATGTGTATTATTGTACTTTTTTAAGATGAAATAACGGCTAGCTTCAGAAGATTTGGGCCTTTGGTAGTAGATTGGCCTCATAAAGCAGAAAGCAAGTCCTATTTTCCACCAAAAGGTAAGAGTTTTTATTGTTAATGTTTTCTAGGGAATCAGTTTTATGAGAGCAAATAAGACAATACCAATTACTTTGTGTTTTCTTTTCTTTTAGAATTGCATATCATCACACCTTTGTATAAAAACTAATAGAGTAATTTGTGAAGGCTGGTAACGTGTCAAGTGACAAGAATGGATCTGAGGGCTATCATAGTTTCACTTTAACCCAGTCAGGAGCCATTAGACACTAGCTGTGCTTTCTCTATAATGGTTTAATAGTGATTTCAAACACTCAAATCAATGAATGTTTTGAGGTTTTGTTTTCTGTTTGAAGCGTCCTTCTAAGTAACTTGGGTACCGACATGTAAAAAAAGTGTCCCTCCATGCAATGAATTTAAGACCTGTTTGAAGTGAGAGAAAAATATAAATGCATGAATAGTATAAATATTTCCAGATTTACATAAGTGTTCCAAACAATAACAGATAACAACAGAGCAATATTTACTTTGTGGGTGAATTTAGCTAAAGGAGAAAGTGACTGGTCAAAACCCCATTATATAGAGAGATCAGATGTGAAGAAGATACCTAGTTGTGCTAGTAACTCACTGCTAGGATACCCACTATGGCTTGTCACCATATCACAAGAATAACAAATCACTATCATTCATCTGACCAAAAGCAAAGCCACCATTAGTAGGGAGAGGAGGTAAGTTCCCCTTGCCCACAATGAGCAGGGGAGGTGAGTGGAGAGAATTAAACGTGAATCCAGTCAGGTTGCTAATGGCAGATTCTCTGAAGGGAATAAAAAGGAGGAGGTTGAAAAATTAAAGCTTTTCTTTGAACATCATTGGAATAAAATTTTAGAAGAACAAAAACCCTGTTATTCTCATGGCTGAGCAAATTTTCAAACCTGGAAAAAAGACTCCAATAGATCTATTAAATGGTCTGATTTGGGCTCTGGGAAAGGAAAACATGTTAGAATAGTTATTGGTATACAAAAACTAATTAAAGATTTCTGATAATGAATTATATGGAATATCTCACTTATTTGTCACTGAGAATTCTAGTACCTCCATTACTAGTTTATGTAGAATTCAGAGAAATGGAATAACCCAGTGGTTTCTGTTTTATACCTTTAGATCTTAGATTTATGGACTCAAGAACATCTTTTGAGCAGGGATTCTGAATCCCAGATCTCTATGAAAGTCTGATTAAAGCTATGGACCTTTCTTCATGTACTCTAAATTTTCACCCAGATTTGGAGTTTACTGGTCTTAGACGTCCTGATACTTAGTTTAGAGAGAAAATAAGCTCCATATAGATGTAGACATTCATTTGTTCATCTGAGTTTTAATCTGTTGTTGAGCTTTAATTTGTTGCTGAGTTTTAAACTGAGTTTTAATCTGTTGTCTATTGCTTCACTCTGTTAGCGTCTTGTAAAGTTTTTGAATGTTGAGTAAAAATGTCAGTTAGTTTCTAATATTCCTGCCTAAGTTACCAGTATCATGGTCCACTTCAGGAATGTGACTAGTCTGTCCATACCTCTGCCTCTCTCCAGTTGTTCTCCCACAGTAAAGCCAGAGTAATCTCTCTGAAAGCTCATCTGATACTGCTATCTCTTGACCATCTGCTTAAAACCCTTCAATGGTTTCTTTCAGTTAGATTAAAGGTAAAAATGGGTTTGCCTTGCCCAACCTCCCCACCTCTCTGGTTTCTTCTGCCCCTATTACTTCTTGTTCACTTCTGGTTTCAAAAACCAGCTTTGCTCTCTCCTGCCTTAGGGCTCTTATGTATGGTATTCTCACTCTCCCTAAGGCCCTTCTGATGTGTCTTCATCCACATACCCTCATTTGTCTCAGTTCAAACATTGGTTGCTCACAGGATACTTTCAGGATGCCCCTAATGGTTCACATACTCCTATTGTAGGTTCTCCTGGCACTGTTCCATTCTCTCATAGCCCTTGTCACAGCTACAATGTTACATTTTTACAACTCTATAAATCCGTGATGATTTTGCTAAAATCCAATTCTTCCCATAGTTTGTAATACTCTGCATTTACTCATCTTTGTACTCTTGGTAATGCACAGAATAATAACTGACTAACACATGATAAAAACACCTATAAATACTATAGAATAGAAGCTCCTTTTACCTGAAGTAGGTGGGGAAGGTTCACTGAGAAGTTCTGAACGAAATCTGAAGGTATTGTGTAATCCAGATAGACATAAAGGAGTCAAACAGAGTTCCAGGGAGGAACTGAAATACAGTTTTAGAAAGGAATGAGAATTGGTTTGTGTGGAGACAGGTATACATTTTTTGCCTGAGCCTCTTGTTCATGTAACAGGATGATGGACTCTAAGCCTAGAAAGATGTGTTGGCACAAATTTAATCAAACAGAATATTGCTGTCTTTGTTGCTGTTGTTGCCATTGTTGTTGTCATTGTGGTTTTTGTGGTGATGGTTAGTTTATTTTCTCAAACTGAAAACAAAGCAAAAAGACCTGAATAAAGCGGCACTGGCAAATCGTAGTTTGGGGTACAATCATAGTTAATTGTCATTGCCAAAGACCAGTGTTTCCAAACCTTGTCCTTTCAAGCAGTTTTGACATTGTTGTAATTCATCTTCCATGGTTTGGAAACACTGGTGCAGAAAGCATCCAGTTAGTAGAAGCTGCCTTGTAATTAAGGCAGCAACATGAGCCCTTGGAGATGGAGCCACATGTGTACATATGTTTCTTTTACAGTGAATGAGGTTCACCCTATGTGTGTATTAGTTTGCTGTACAGTATGTTTTTGGTAAGAGTATTTTAATATTTAATGGTTTGCCTTAGCTAGATCATAATTTACCTGCCATGTTGCTTTAATTAGTTTTGTGATACAAACATTTCTTACCTAATAATCACACAAATCATTAAGTAATAGTAGGAATATGGAATGTAGAGGTGCCTGGGTGGCTCAATTGGTTAAGCGTCTGCCTTCGCCTCAGGTCATGATCTCAGGATCCTGGGATGCAAGCCCTACGTCAGGCTCCCTGCTGCTCAGTGGGAGCCTGCTTATCCCTCCCACCACTCTCCTCCTCATGCTTTCTCTCTCTCTCTCTCTCTTAGAATCTTAAAAAAAAAAGTATTGAATGTAAAGTATCACTTTAAAACTAACCAAAATTAAACATTAATATCAAAAATATCACAAATAACATTAAATATACTGAATTTAAAATATTTTGTAAATTGGTCTTATATCCTCTCAGTTATTACAAAAGAGTTACAACTTGCAAATCTTTTACTTGTGTCAAAATTAAAGCCTTCACTTAAAACCAGTTTTCATTTTTTTTATTTTTTCAAGCATATTTAAATTATTTCTAGCAGTTGGAAATGTCTGCAATGTGTTTTTTTAATCTTGCATAATCATACCTTAGAAAGTTTCTGTTGCATAGGTTGATTTGATGGCTTATTTATGCAATCAGGAATTATAATTTTAAAATGAAGCACTTTTGTGTCACATCAGACCTTGTGGCAATTACAGCCGTTGTTGGCAATAAAGCTATGTGTTTTGATTTTTGTATAAAACATGATCTCACATTTACCATTGTCTAATGGCATAGATAGATGTGCATGGCCTGCTTGATGACTTCTTCATATTAGAACCAGATTACAGTTCTCTAGGTTTGTTTGCATAGAAATCTCATCAGAAAGGGGTGTTTTTTGGTCAGTTAATTATCAGCTTCTAGGAATAATCATGTAATGGTGAACTTCCAGTATAAATTTTGATACCTTCTTTTTATACTGAAGTCTGTTCTGCTTGAAGAATGATAATCCGTTATCACAAAGAGAGGAGGAAGGGCATATCTCCCAAAGGTACAGGCATCTAATAAGCAAGAGCTTGGGTCCAAAGTCCAAACATAGTCTCCAGACTACTTGAAAGGAAGTGTTCCACAGTTTATCCCAGTAGAGAGTTTGATTTTAAGGTCCTGACCCATGCTGGAGGACCCATTTTGCTCCAGCCTCCTTAAGGTAGTTTTCTTAGTACAATTTTGAAGTTGACGTGCTGACTGTGGTTATTTCCCCTTCCTTATGGAAATTCTTGGGCCTTTCCAAGTGTGCTCTAGCCCAAACTGTGCACCAGAACATGTCTTACCCTGAGGGCCTCCTTAGAAACTTTCTAATATAATCGAGGGGTTAGTCCTGCCAAGTTCTTGAAGAAGACAGTATCTTGGGAGACCTTGGGGGCTCTTCTGGGTTTGAAATTACTCCACCAACTGCTTGCTCATGTGACTGACTTGGGGCAAGTCATTAACTGCTGGATACCTCAGGTTTTTCTTCTATAAAATGGGAATAATGTCTTAGAGACTTGCTGTGGAAATCAAATGAAATAATTTATGTAAAGCTTTTAGCACAGCACTGGATAGAAAACAATCTATATAAGATAGCTAAATAATGAGTATCTGTTTTTGTGTGTATTCCATAGGATATTGTGCTCTCCTATAGAAAGTCTAATAATTCTGGTTCTCTCTGATAGGTTTTTTTTTTTTCTTTTGCAAAAGTATGTGTTTCCTAAATAGTATTGAAATTTGGGGTGAAATCACTTCCTTTGCAATATTGCCTCATTTTTAATGGTTATTACAGGCTATGCATTCCTTCTCTTTCAAGAAGAGAGCTCAGTTCAAGCACTAATTGATGCTTGTATTGAAGAAGATGGAAAACTCTATCTGTGTGTTTCCAGCCCCACCATTAAGGACAAACCAGTAAGTAAATACTATATGTGAACTTTAGGCTACAAATGCGAGTTTTCCAAAAACTGGTTTGAAGTAATTAATGATAAAAAAAGTTAAAATACCATGTTAAGAGTTCAGTTTTTAAAAATCCTGATAACTTATACTATCTAGCTTAAAAAAATAATGTATTTTCAAATCCAGCTATACAAAATTTTGAAAAATAAAAGGACCACTGTTAACTGGCACAAAGTAGCATAAGCTGTCAAGAGAGTAAGACCAATTACAGTGATGTGATTGTCTTCCTAGGTTCAGATCCGTCCTTGGAACTTAAGTGATAGTGATTTTGTGATGGATGGTTCTCAGCCTTTGGATCCTCGAAAAACAATTTTTGTTGGGGGTGTTCCTAGACCATTAAGGGCTGGTAAGTAGAATGTTAAGAAATTTTGCTTCTTAAAAAAAAAAATTAAATATGAATGAATTCAGTAAACTTTTCAGAGCTGTTATGTACATGGCACTATTGGGTGGGCAAAGGGCAGATTCTTTATGCTCCAAGAGTTGTTTGCTACAGAATTCTGAGAAGTATTCTACTTCTCTCAGTGGAGAAGTAGACACTCATCTATCAATATGAATAATTAACTCCGAGCAGACTCTATAAGAAGGATCCAAATACTTCTGACTTCTAAAAAGAATTTTGGGTCTGTTTGTTTTATGTTGGTTGATTCTGATATTTGAAGAAGTACGTTTTGTTTTTTTTTAAATAGTGCTTTGATAAGTAATAAACTTCTGTTTATCAATAATGAGAAACCAGAGATTTACCAGAAATGTTATCCAGGAACATAATTACAGACCTGTATGCCCACTGTACAAGCATGCTTTATGATTCCCTGTGCCCTGTGAAGTGTGTTAGTGCCTTCCACCACTGAGAACATCCTTTTCTAGTCAGTATAGGACATACATGTTAAAAGAACCATTCACATGTGTAAATACTTACAGAATATAACTGCTACAAAGAAAGACTATAGAGAGTAGAAGAACATCATGGGAATGTGGTATAGTCTGATACTTAGAAATACTTGCATTTGAGCTGACACAGCAGAAGGAATAGAGTTGAGGTGGCAAGAGGGTTGTGAGGAGTGTGTTTTCAGACAAAGGGAAGAGCATATTCAAAGATCTTTAGTGGAGGGAAGCGGAGGGCATTGGAGGAACTGAAAGAAATCTAGAGTGGCTGACTAGGGGTATAAGAAGTGAGGAGAGAGACACAAAAAGGCATAGAAAAAGTGAATAGGGGTCAGACCATACAAATCTGTCTGATAAGCTAATTCAGTATTTATCCTCAGAGCAAGGGGAAACCAATGAAGAGTTTTAGATAACTGCAGCTAATGACATATTTTGGGGGCAGCTGGGTTGAGAGAAGATATGAGTAGACCATTTTAGGAGCCCATTCTTGCAGGGCAGGAGAAAGATAACATGAGCTTAGATTGGAGGTAGCAGTGGTGAGAGAGCAAAGTAAACACAATTGTCCCAAACAATTTATGAGGTAATCTCAAAGGCTGAATCTCAGCTTTCAGTCTTAAGCCACTATGTAGATAGTCACACCTTCTACTGTGATAAAGAACACTGGAGAAGAGAGATTGTGGTCTTGATTTTTTTTTTTTGAAGATTCTATTTATTTGACAGACAGAGATCACAAGTAGGCAGAGAGGCAGGCAGAGAGAGGAGGAAGCAGGCTCCCCGCTGAACAGAGATCCCGATGCGGGGCTCGATCCCAGGACCCTGGAATCATGACCTGAGCCGAAGGCAAGAGGCTTTAGCCCACTGAGCCACCCAGGCGCCCCTGGGGTCTTGATTTTGAAAGCAAGTTTGTGGTACCATTTTGAGCTCCGAAGTAAAAATTTTAGTTATGCCATTTATATCTGATATCTAAGAATTATTCTTGCTACTGTTTTGAAAATAAATTGAGGGGCCTTGCTACTGTTTCGACAATAAATCAGAAGCAAAGAGTTAAGGCTATTGCCACGATCCAGATGAAAAATAATGAGAGTTTGGAACAGGATGTTAGGTGATGGAGGTGAGGAGATTGGATTTTAGATAGGTCTAGAAAATCAGGTTCATAGGATTGCATGTGTAGTGGGGAAAACAGAAAATAGAAAGGATTGAAGCCAAGAATCTTAGGAACTTTATCTTTTCTATTGCTTACCAGCTGAGTTAGCAAAAACTCATTGGAGCAGATTTAATGGGATGGTGGAAGATCAGGAGTGTCATTTCAAACTAGTTGGTGAAGGTCTATTAAATGTCAGTATGAGTTGTCCAGGACAACAACTCCAGTTAACCATCTCCTGGTGGTTGCATCGATGACTTCGGAGTCCAGAGAAGAGGCCGAGGCTGGAGACAGGAATTTAGGACATGAAGACAGATAGATGGTATTTAAAGCCATGACATGGGATAAAGTCACCATAGCTCACAAGTATAAAGAGAAATCCACGACTGAAACTTAGAGTACTCTGACATCGAAAAGTCAAGGAGTTGAAGAGGAACCAGCAAGGAAGACTAAGGAATTGTGAAGTCAGATGAAAATTAGTAGAAAAATGTGTCCTGAAAGCCAGATGCAGAAAGTAGACATTAACTGTGTTCCGTGCTGCTTCCAGGTAGATTGACCATTGTACTTGACAGTGGCATGAGCAGTTAGCATAGAGTCAAGGGATGAAAGAAAGTCTCATTATAAAGGTTGAACAAGGAATAGGAAGAGAAGGATGAGGTAGTAGAAGAAAAAAAAATTTAAGAATTTGGCTGTAAAGGAAGAATATAGAAATTAAGCAGTCACTGAGAGGGAGAAAAACATAATTAAGAGTTTTGTTTTGGGTTTTTTGTTTTTTTTTTTTTAAGACTGGGAATGATCCTCTGTAGAGGAAAAAACTGATGATAAAGGAGAGAAGAGGGGGCACCTGGGTGGCTCAGTGGGTTAAAGCCTCTGCCTTCAGCTCAGGTCATGATCCCAGGGTCCTGGGATCGAGCCCTGCATGGGGCTCTCTGCTCGGCAGGGAGCCTGCTTCCCCCTCTCTCTCTACCTGCCTCTCTGCCTACTTGTGATCTCTGTCAAATAAATAAATAAATAAATAAATAAAAATCTTAAAAAAAAAAAGAGAGAGAAGAGAATTGCCAAGTAATTCTGTAGTGAGAGCAAATTGGGTCCAATATGCAGGTGAAAGGATTGGATTTAGAAAACAGTGTAAAACTATTTATCCTATTGACTTTCCCTTTTTAAAAAAGTTATTTAAAAACTGTTGATTTACTGTGTTCTCTCACATTTGATGTGAATTTCTTTTCAAGTGGAACTTGCTATGATCATGGACCGGCTGTATGGTGGAGTTTGTTATGCAGGAATTGATACAGATCCTGAGCTAAAATACCCAAAAGGTGCTGGTCGAGTTGCTTTCTCCAATCAGCAGAGCTATATTGCTGCCATCAGTGCTCGGTTTGTTCAGCTTCAGCATGGGGATATTGATAAACGCGTAAGTTGCATATAGGGATAGCATTTAACATCCTGTAATAAGGTGCTGATCCAGAGCTTACTACCCTACCAAGTTGACAATATAATTCAAACACTTTATTTTTTTATGCATCTTTAAATCTTAGAGTTAAAGAGTATTATATCAAAATACCACTGAAATGTAAAATTATTGAACATACTTTGAACTTTTTTTAAACGATTTTATTTATTTATTTGTCAGAAAGGAGCAGGCAGAGGGAGAGGCAGTTTCCCCACTGAGCAAAGAGCCCAGTGGCGTTCCCCATACTTTGAACTTCAGATATAGTATACAAAATTTAAATGTCATTGTAAAAGCACATCAGGTTGTAGGGTTTTTGGTTGTTGTTGTTTTTTTAAAAATCCACCAATAAGGTCTTAACACCTTTCTAACCGTAGAGGCAGGGCTTGTTTTAAGAGTGTACCCTGGGTGTATCTGGTTGGCTCAGTCCTTTAAGTGTCTGCCTTTAGCTTAGGTCATGATCCCAGGGTCCTGGGATTGAGCCCCTCATCAGGCTCCCTGCTCAGCGGGAGCCTGTACCCTGGAGCCAGCATGCCCAGGATGCTGTGTCCACCACGTGCTCTGTAATCCTCAAGAAATTAACCCTCAGTATGCCTCTTTTTCCCCATTTATCAAATGGAAAGCAATAATAGTATCTTTTTCACAATTAGTTTGAGGATTAAATGAATTCTCATATGTAGAAGCATTTAAAGTTTGGCACCATTATTTAAGTGTTTTTAATCTGTTATCATTAAATTTAAAATAAAAATACACTGTATTTTTCCCTAAGTATACAAAATGATAAATATACAAAAAAAAATTAAACACACAAAATAACTATCCTAAACTTTAAAACATTTACTCTTTAGTTGCATTGTATAGGTAATCACAGTAAGAACTTTTTAGGAAGTCCTATGAATATTCGTTAACTAAAAGCCACCCCATTGAATAATTCCTAGTACTGTTTACCATTGAAAATAGGGAAAAGGAGCGACCCAAATTCGGTTGTTCAATTGCAAATCTATTTCATACTAAAATTTGCTCATAGTGCATACATACAGCTAAGCAATATTTTAAAATAATCATGTTTGCATTATATTACAGATGAGATATGCTAAGAATTAGAGGTAATTTAACTTTTTGTATATCCAAATTAAAAGATATAACTTGAGTATTTTTTTCCCCAGTGTAACAGTTTCTTGAAGTTTCTTCTCTGAGGCTGTCTGTATATATTAAAAGACTATTTTGGAGGCAGTGGAGCTGATTTAGGAGTATGGATTGACTAACTGTGGACTCTAAAAGTAGTCATCAGTTTAATTTCCAAGCTATCCCATATAGAAAACAAACCAAAAAAAGTACAGCATAGGTTCAGTTCATACAAGCAGAGTGATTTTTTTATATTGTTACTTAAACTGTTGCAACACACACAGTCTCACCTTCTAAGTGGAAGGTGTCTGCTTTAATTACACCATGCAGGAAAATTTGTTGAACTGGAGTTCCTGTAATCCAGTGGTTTTCACCCTCAGCTGCAGAATAAAGTCACCTGGGAATTTAGAAAAATCTTGACGGCTGGGTTCCCCCATCCCCTGACCCCAGAGATTTTGTTATAATTGTTCAGGGGCAGCCGAAATTTGTAAAGCTCCAAGGCGATTCTAATGTGCAGCCATGATTGAGACCATGTATCTAGTCTAACCCTGACTTTTGCAAAGAAGTGATCCAGTCAAAGAAGGAGGTTACCTACATTGTATATAATTATAGCTTTTAGCATGCAGAAGCACAGGGAAAACATCCTTGCAGTGTCCTGCCTCATTCTTGTTTCCAAAATGATAGTGAAGTACCAATTATTTGGGGGCAGAGTATGGATTCCTAAAGAGCAATTCAGATGCAGAGCAAGTGAATTGAGAAACACATGCATGCCTTCTTAAAAAGGCACTACAATGCCTGAGAGAAAAGTTTAATTTTTAAGATATGAGCTGCTTAAGGTATATTTTGAACTATATCTGAAATAATTTGAGAGATGTCTGGCTGGTTCAGTTGAGAATGCGACTCTTGATCTTGGGGTTATGAGTTCGAACCCCATGTTGGGTGTAGAGATTACTTAAAAATAAAATCTTTAAAAAAAAAAAAAAAGAAAAAGAATTAAAGAATTTGAGCTTGCTCACGCGTGCGCGCACACACACACACAATTGATCTTTGTACCTTTCATGTCTCTAGTATGAATGTAATTATTAAACCATAACAACTGATTAATTTAAAACTTATAACTGATAACCCAGAGATTTGGGGAGGATTGAAATTGTTCATTCAGCTTGATCTTTTGGCTCATGAGCTCTTTGAGGTTTAATTCCTATCTCCCCAAAAGCTGGGAAACACCATCACCACAAAAGTGTAATTCATTGTAATTTTGTATGTTACTCCATGAGTAATATTACTCACTGTGCCTTCTGGTACTTACTGAAGGGAGTTGTGTTGAAGTTCAAGTTGGATAATTAAATATGAATTATTTCATTAGTTGTGAATCCAGGTGACAGAGTATTACAGATAGGTTCTCTGAAGTGAAATAGGGAGGGGCATCATAATGGAAAATAAGAATAGGCACAGAATTGATGAAACTCCCAACACCTTTTCACACATACAAAAGCTCATTTTTAGAGGTTATTAATCAGAAATAATCAGAATACTCTAAAATCATAAGTTTAAAATCCAGTTTACTATCTTTAAAGTCTGTGATTTTGAAGGTAATTAGATTAGCTTCATAAAATAATACCTAGAAGTTTGAAATACAAATAATTGAAATCATTGCATTTTGAAATTTTATTCAGCAGTTTTACATTCAGTAACTCCTAAGCACCAAGAATTTTATGAGGTATTATGGAAATGAAGTAAACCACACAGACACTGTCTTTAATTACAGTAGAGACAAGAGATATAATCAAGAAAACATATGTAAATGTACCACATTTATTCAGATAGTTTCTACTTTGTGCTAGATATTCTGCTAGATCCTCTTACTAAGTATTGAACAGACACTTTCCCTGTGCTTATTTTGATTATCATCTAGTAAAATGAAATTCAGTAATTCTCATGCCACTTTGAGATATTCTTTGGTAATTTCTTTGATTATAGTTATTATATATTATTATAACAATATTATATAGTTATATATACGTGTGTGTGTATAGTTAGTTTTAGTTACATAATATTATAATGAAGATAATCAGAAATAGCAGACTGGCAATCAAGATAGGATCCATAATAGAAAAAAATTAAAAAATAAAGATTGAGCATAAAAATTTTAGACCAAGTGTCAAAAATCTTTTAAAAAATCAAAGGCCAATGGAAAAAAGGTTAAAAATTCTTAACTGGCAAAGAGGATTCACTTCAAAAAAAAAACCTCCATTGGGAAAATATGCAAAAGATACAGGCTATTCAGAAAAGCAAAATGTTCAATGTACATAGAATGTTTATCCAGCCCTAATTAGTGAAATGCAAATATAAACAACAACTTAATTTCATTACCTTTCTATCAGATGTTTGTTTTATAGTCCTTTTCATCACCTTTTAGGTTTTTCCCTATTCGTTGTTGCTCTTGTGACGAATAATGCTTCAGAAAATACCCTTATATGCGCGTTTTCTGCACATGTGCAAGTGTTAATACATTCAGAATAGAAATTGTTGGCTTGTTATTTTTTTACCTTTGGCAAACACTTCTTTATCTCTAACCAAACCCTTTAAACACTCAGTTTTCCCTCCTCTCCTCAGGAAAGCCTGAGGTCTTAGGCTGCCTGGTACATTAAGTCAGACAAAGGTAGTAGCCCTCCATTCATAGTTATTATTAGTAGGCAGTACTGGCTTAGAGTCTCTGTTGTGTGCCAAGCACTGCCTTAAACACTTTTACCTGCATAATCTAATCCTCACAGCGCTGTAAAGCAGATTCTAGGATTCTTCTCACTTTACAAACCTGGAACCTGAGGTTTAAAAGGCTTAGCCCTCAGAGCTGACTGGGGTCTGAGGTCTTCTGAGTCAGGCCTTCTCAGTGAGCCTCTTTGAATTTGTAGCTCATAAATTCACAGAAGTCTAGATACGCCTTTAATAAGATTATCCACAGTTCTGGTGTGTGTGCACCAAGTAGTTACAAGCAGGTACATAATCAGTGGTTGTTTGGGGTTGGGACATCTCTCAGGTGCTACTGGAATGAAGGGGAAAAGGTGTAAAAACCATTTGTCCTCCATGCCCTTCTCTTTTTTACTCATAATCACCCTGCCTCTAAAATATTAACACACAGGTGTTTTAAAGATGTTACTTCACAGAAGGTAAAGGTAGAATGTTTTACAAATCAATTAGATGTATAGTTTGTAAAAGTATTTTCTGCCATTGAAAAATACAGTAAATACCACTCAGTTTATAGTCCTTGGAAGAAAACATATCAAAATAAAATAAAATTGCCAAAGTAAAACTAAATGCTCGTTTAATCACATGATCACTTATGAACATGAAACATCTTAGAAAAAGATGATTAGTGCCAGAAGAGAATGACTTTGTTGTTGGTTTTTGTTTTTGCTTTTGTTTTTGTTTTTGTTTTGTTTTGTTTTTGTTTTTTTTTTAATTTTATTTTTTATAAACATATATTTTTATCCCCAGGGGTACAGGTCTGTGAATCACCAGGTTTACACACTTCACAGCACTCACCATAGCACATACCCTCCCCAATGTCCATAATCCCACCCCCCCCCAACTCCCCTCCCCCCATTGCTTTTGTTTTTGTTTTTTAACCTATTACATGGTAAAGCTATTTCCCTGGGAAACTGCCTACTTTCTCGGTGTTTAATGCTGGTCCTTTTCCTCGAGAACACCCTGAACATTTTAAATTTACTAAAATGATTTCTGAAGCAAACTTAATGGGAGACTTTTTTCCTCTCTCTTTCCAGGTGGAGGTAAAGCCATATGTGCTAGATGACCAGATGTGTGATGAATGCCAGGGCGCACGCTGTGGTGGAAAATTTGCTCCCTTTTTCTGTGCCAATGTCACTTGCCTGCAGTATTACTGTGAGTTTTGTTGGGCAAATATCCACTCTCGTGCAGGACGTGAGTTCCATAAGCCATTGGTAAAGGAAGGTGCTGATCGCCCACGTCAGATCCACTTCCGCTGGAACTAAGAATAGCACACCGGCCT